CAGCATCTCATCAACACAGATAATTATCCTCTCTACTCATTGGCCTTGGGCTGAAGACTTGCCCCTGCTTAGAAACAACCCCACAACTTATGGAAGCCGCTTACTAACAATCATGAGTCACAAAACAGAGATACAAACCCTGCAACAAACCCAACAGTCTCCATATGTACCAGAGCAAGTCTGTTTTGCAATCAAACAACATCAGCTCTGTTATCAAGGTCCATTCATCAACATATCTTCTAAGGTGAACTAATGGCATCATCTGCCATAAATATAGGCCAAACAAGTCAGTTTCTGCTCAAGAGAATAAATGGATGCTAATCAGACTCTGAAACCAATATGGAGGTGTGGGGGTGTCAGTCTTATCCCCTAGGGCATTCTGTAGCAGATCGGAAAGGTTGTCATATATATATATACCCTGGCTGGGTTCCCCCAGCCATTCTGGGCGGCTCCCAACAGAATATAAAAAACATGATAAAACATCAAACATCAAAAACTTCCCTAAACAGGGTTGCCTTCAGATATCTTCTGAAAGTCAGATAGTTGTTTATTACTTTGACATCTGATGGGAGGGCGTTCCACAGGGCGGGCGCCACTACCGAGAAGGCCCTCTGTCTAAATAAATTGTAATAGAGATTGGAACTCATTTACACATTGAATCTTGCCATCCCTGATCTTCAGCTGGGGTCACTGATCCAGAGTGCTGTGATCGGGTCTTTTGTTCATTTGACTGGATCTTGAATTAACTTCATGCACTATTCCTTTGTGATCTGCACGGTTGTGTGACATACCCAACTGCTGCCTCTTGCTTTGCTCGACTTTTTGGCTTCACTTAGTAAACCACTTCCCCACTCCCTTCTGTATTTAGGGAATATATATATACCTACCCACTCGGGCGCTGGCACATCTGGTGACGTGAGCTGTGACCTACTTGCAACACAATAGATCTGTTAGCTTTTAACAAGCCTTGACAGTGCTAATGGTGGTGGTGGTTGTCTCAAGCATGGCTACACTTCTGGAATTTTGGTTTAATTTATCTAAGGAAGGGCTCCTGGGAATGTGTTCGCTGGTGAGCTGGCCTCCTGAAATAATGAAGTGTGGGGAAATGAGCTACCATAGGGTAGGGGAACTGGGTGCATCCAGATGTTTTGACTGCTAGCAAGGTTCCCCACCCACAAGCCAACAACTTTCCTAACAAATGGCTGTCGCTCTTTAGAGTTCGGTCTCCCACTTAGAAAACCTTGGGAGATCTGACCCTACCTGATTTCAACTACCGTACGTTTTCATTTCTCTTAGAGAGCATTCCTAACTGCAACCTCCTTTTCTTCCTTCTCTAGTATCACCTGGGACTCACTGGTCATCCAGAACTCTTCCTCCTCAACAACATTGATGCCGACCAAGCCTCGATTAGATGAATCCCCTCCGAACTAGTAAGGGTGTGACTTTAAAGACAAAGAACATAGAGCCCTCCTATGCTGCCCTAAGCCAAGTTTGATTGGTTCTGATATGTTACTGCAAACATCCAATAATTTGCAACTTCGAGAAAGAGAGAAGCACAAGGGGAAAGGAATTACTGTATGCTATTAAGGATCGTCTGGTACACTGGAAAATAGACTTCTTTAGAAGCTGTGCCTAAGGTCACCTAGAAAGTTACAAAAGGACTGACAGAGAGCTTGGGTTAAATCATTGTGAAGCTGAGATTGTATGTAATAGTGATGGACAGGCGCGTATCTTGAAATGTGGGTCGCCACCAAACATCTTCAAAATACTGGAGGTATAGGTACTAAAATTTGAAAAGCAATTAGCCAGGAGGTGGGTGCTGAACTCTTCATTCGACCGCTGGCCTCCCTCTCCACCCAGTTACCTCTCCCCTTGCCCCCAGTGCTTTACTCCTAGTTGGATCTCATTTCTGGCCTCAAACTGGGAGAAATGTGCCAGGGGCAAACTTGTTTATTTGGAGGCAGGGCCTAGCAATAGCAGAGAGTTCCATACTCCTGTCCTGACTGTCATTTTCACTTTTGAAAGCCCTTTACTTGCTTTACAGGTATTTGACACTGACCCATACTTGAAACATATAACTACAGTAAAGGTACTGGTGATTTGATTTCCGCTGCATGCAGATCACTGTCTTTCCTGTCTAAGGGAGAAATGATCACGCACCCCTCAATTTCTGGGAAACTGACAACCGTCTTTTCTGAAAGTTGAGAAATATCCTTCTTGGCATTTTATCCTCAATGCTATCCAGGTTCACTATTCCAGATGGAGAATTTGGGTTTTTGTTTGACACAGAGTGCACCCAGCCTGGCTATCCCCATGGTCCTTCTCGCTATCGGATTAGGAAACTAACATAATTGAATTTTCCTTGTGGCTGAGGAAACTTGTTCTATGTGCAGAGCTGCGATTCCAAGACTAAGTCCATGAGATTCAAGTATTACAGCTTTTCTTTTTTCGAGAAGCAAAAGAACTCTAGCCTGCAACTCCTGCTTCTTCTGCTGACCCTATTAATATTTTTATATATTTTTTACAGCAACATCTTCGTACAGGGTGCCATACAACGTAACAAGAGCCCCTTTCTTTCCTTTTGACTAATGCTCAATTTGGTACAGAGTTGTTAAAATGACATGGCTGGCAAAATCTCACATCAGCTGACTGCTGTAGCTCACGCTGCACATACTTTGTGCTTAATATGTCACGTCTGATTTATTAGGTAAAACTTGAAATAACAGTTTCATAAAGAGTTGCAGCTTGCGTCATTTACTCTGCTGCTGGTAAATGTGTGTTTTTAATTTACAGCAAATTAAGGGTCCTTTTTTCCTGTACTGAATTAGTGTGACATTTTACCCGGTTAATTTAACAACACATTCAGTCGCAGCTTACATTGTAATCCAAAGCCAATATAGAAGTGATGCAAATTTAGTTCAGGCCTTGCGGTGCTCTGTCAAGGTTTCAGCCAATCCTCGATATTTGAGTAGAGTTGTTCATTGTATGAACAGAAAATGGTACCTACCTGTTGCTTAAGTTTTATCCCTGAAACTTTCCCCAAGTTTCTAGCCCTCGTGCTCACAGAAACAGACACATATGGCCATGTACATGCAGTATCTGCAGAAAATGCCAGTATTTAATCAAATTTGCAGCTGTTCTAGTTTGCAAAGTTGGCCACATATATTAGAGTTGTCTGAATGTTCTCTGTGATGCGAGACAACTTGGTACTGCCATTGCACTTGAAACAGTACAGACACCAACATACTAATAGCTCCTTTGCTCTACAAATTGCTTTTCTTCATTGCATAAGGAGAGTCACCCATTCTGTAACTTATTGCGGACAGCCTAAGGCTTGAGTTCTGTGCACAATCAACTTGCTAGTAAGCTGCATTCAACTCAAGCGGGGTTTGATTCTGAGTAAGCATGCATAGAATCAGGTGTTGCTTTGCTTCCTACCTTAAATTGGATGATTTGTGTGCATCAAAAAACATGCCACATTCGCACGCACAAACTTGGGCACAAGAAGTGTGTCCCGCTGAACTTGGCCAAAATAGAAGTGTGTCCCACTGAACTTGGCCAAAATTGTTATGTTTGAACCAAACATGGTGAGAAGGCTTCCAGGGCAGCCCCTCTGTTCTAAAAATGTCACATGTATCTTCCACTCAGGATGCACTAAAGATCTGCAGTTGTGTTACAAGACAAGGCAGTTCTGCTGAATGGTATACAGTATATGCAATCTGTGCTCTGTTACAAAACCCATTCAGGTTTCAAGACAAGCCCTGCTGGGTCAGGTCAAAGGCCCATCTAGTTCATCACCCTATTCTCAGCCAGGTGCCTATGGGAAGCCACAAGTAGGACTTGAGTACAACAGTACTCTCACTACTTGTGATTCCTAAGCAAGAGGAATTCAGAAGTATATTTGGTATTCTTGTTTTATATTCGGCACTAATTTATATTAAATGTACTGATCATTTTTGTTTCAACAGAGGTCCAGGTTTTCAAATAAATATGTCAACTATACACTGCCTTTCTGGTTTCTAATCTTGTTATCTGATGTCATCAGTCTTTCTTTGTCTTCTGACTTAGAACGCAAGGAGACACTGCTGCAGGAATAATTACAGCAGGGGGAAGTAGAAGTAAAATAATTCTGTTGAGGCTGCTTAAGGAATGTTGCTGCTTCGGAAGAAAAAAAAATGAGCAAGGCCTAATTTATACAAAATGCTATTGTAAGCAATGTGGGAAAACCACTGAGCCCAAATAGGTGACCATTTTATCACACTTCCTGCTACACATTTTGCCACACCTTATCACCTGATGAGCAGTAGAATCCCTCTTATCACTTGGCAAGATGATTCAGATGATCAAAGTGCTCCGAGTGAAAGAACTCATCCCAGGGTAATTGGGGTGGTCTGAATGAGCCCAGCTTGCATTTAACTGCACTGAGGTTGTTTGGGTTTGCCATCACATGTGCATTTGACAAGAAGCTATGGATGATCCCAGCTGCCTGAAATGTGTATGTGTGTGATAATGTTTGCCAACAAATATTTGCCACATTTATGCTTCACGTGTTCATGTGAATATCCTAAAAATGTGTGGCAGGCTTTATTCTGGTGTTGTTGCTTTTGTGGGTGCACTGGCATGGATGTTGGAAGGCCTCTCAACTCAATGGCAAAGCCGCATGCATGGTGTACGTGAAATCGCAAGCTCAGTTCCAGACATTATCAAAAAGAACTCAGGTAGGAGGGAGCCCACTGCCGATGCCTTAGAGAGCAGCTGCCAGAGTAGAGGCTGGGAGACAAACCAGCGGTCTGACTCTGTATCACGCAGCTTCCTATGCCCAGACATTAGCCACGTTAAGACTCCCCTAGGGGGCTTAGCTGCTGGTGTTTCTAAAAACTGGACACAACTCTGAACCTTGAGAGCGAATGTTCAACTCAAACCAGGAAAAAGCTGCAAAGTTGACTCAGATCTGGATGCCCAATGCAGACAGAGCTTGTCTTCAGCATATAGAAGCTGCTTTAATAAATGGGGAGGGTGGCAGTGGGAATCCTGGCGGCATACTTGGAATACATTCTAAAAACACTTATACATAAAAGTTTTTATAAAATAATACTGAATCAAATGCTTTGCTCTTCCTCTTTGCTTTGATGATGATGATCATTTGTTCGGTCCACTGGTGCCCGAACGTTTCATGTAATCTGTATACATGGAATATAAAACTCCTAACAAAAGAAAACAGATATATTAGTTAGCAATGGCTGCTTCAATATCATCCAGCAACTGTTGCATTGAACAGAAATAAGGTCACGTTTGCTATCTTAGCACAGGTAAATGAATCTGTTGCCTGGTGATGACTCAAGAACAAAAGCTTAGGGCTTGAATCAAAAACTACAGGGCTGCCTGTTTATTCACTACAGCCTGCTGGGGAACGTTTTCGGCCCCATGAGCCAGATCTTTACCCACCCCATCGGCCAATGTTGCCAGGCGAGTGGGCCGACCCATCTGTCAATCATCTGACACCATGATGGCAATCAGGTGATTAATAGATGGGTGGCTGTGCCCAACGGGGGTGAGGGGGAAGAGTTCTGCTTTCCTAGCACATTCCCTGCAGGAAACACACTAGAAAAGCAGCACCCAGCAGGATTGGACCTCATCTACCAGCTAATTGACAGGTGGGTGTGGTGGGGAACCTCTGACTCTTGGCTTGGTGTGGTTTTTTGGAGGGGTGGAGAGAGACATGGCCTCAGAAGCGAAACTGGACAGCGGGGAGATTACTTAACAAAACAACATGTTCTCTTACCTACTGTTATTGCACCTACAACAAAGCTTTGGGCTGCAACTCTCATGTGGATGAGGTGGACTGACATTTTTTGGCTTCCTCTGTGTTTCAGCTTGTAAAGCCCATAGCCTACTACAGCAAAGCAGCCTGCCAGACCTGGATATTAAAGAGAGGGGTGTAGTTCAGCATTGAGCACCAGCATTGCCTTGCTGGATCAGGTTAAGGCTCCATGTAATTCAACATTCTCTTCCTAACAGAGACCAGTCAGATGCCTTTGGGGAGGATACAAGCAGGACATGAAGCCAACAGCCCCACCCATTGTCTCAACAATTCCTATTCATGCAGGAATCTCTCCCTTAAAGGCATCTAAAGCAGTGGTTGTCACCCTATTGGGTTTTAATACTTTTTTTAAAAAAAGGATGATGATGCAATGGAGCCAAAAGAGGAGGTATACCCTTCCTACTTTGTCAGTTGAAATCACACACATAGTCATTTTGCAAGGCCTGTTTGCTTTCCTGGGTTCCTCCCTGATGAACTGGTAGAGTGCTCAACCCAGACTGTGGGCTGCTGGGTTCATGTCCCTGTAAGCTAAGTGAGTAAGTCACTAGTTCTCATCCTACCCAGCTTAAAAGGTTGTGAATATGAAGCCCATGTATGCCACCCTCAGCTCCTTGGACCAAGAATTGGATGCAGATGTGGTAAACAAACCATGTTGTGTACACATTTTAAAAACAGACCCCCTTCTGAATCAAAATGTTGTTTAAAGCAATGATTGGTAAGTGGCAGCTCATTTTGTTCCGACAGGATGTTTCATTTTCTGGGGTGAAGGCTAGGATTTCGATTCCCAGGTCCATTCACTGTAACCATAACAACTCTCCCTGAATCAAAAATAATATTTAAAAATATTGCTCTGAAGTGACATCCAGATGTGTTAAGCTTTATCTCCTGAACAGTTTGGTTTTGGGAGATTTGTCAGGTGATGTAACTTTTCTTTTTGTTTCTTAGTGTTTGATGCGTAAATTCAATATAATGACATTTCTTTTTTATCTTTTAACTGCAAACCTGGTCTGCGAGAGGCAAGCACTGTCCTTGCAGCCAGCTTAATTGGCAACAGTGCATACAAATTAGCCTGTGTTCGTGGGCATTGCATGTACAAATCACTTTAAATTCTGGAAAGGCACCTGGTCTGATGCAGTTCAGCTGGAGCTGATAAATGGGAAGGAAGACTAATGAAGGTTGATGGGTGAAACTGTGACAGTTTGCAAGGCTTATGCTTACCTCTCTCAATGTGGGCACATTCTTTAAAGGAAATCCTACTAGCAAAAAAAAGAAATGTCATTCACTTGTCTGTTTAAAATGCAGACTTTTTTAAAAGGATGGTATTAAGTCCATGGCACAGAATATGGAGCCACAATGTGTTTCCTGCCTGTTTCTTATACCAGGAGCATCCAACTTCTATATTCTTGAAGACCACTCAGTTCTCTTTAGTTTCCAATCTGAGGTGTGCCGCCTTATGGATGGTCACCAAGGCAGCAGAGAGCTATATAGATGTGACTCTGAACACACACTGCCCCACACACAAGCCTGGACATTCCTATGGCATTCTACCTGCACCACTCTGTTCTTGAACATGAACTATTCTTCTGCTCCAGCAAAGCAGACTAATCTGTATATAAGATACAGCAAAACTGGAAGAAAACCATTTATGCAAACACAGAGGGGGGGTATCCCACATTTCCATCAAACTGCAAAAAGCAGTAATGTAATAAAAAAAACAATGCAGCAAAACAGAGCAAGAGTTAGCAACTCAACAGATATAGGAAACAGATATAGCAGATGGAATTTAGTCGCTGACTGGAGTGACTATCTCCATATCCCTCTTAGCTATATCATTACAGTGGTACCCCGCAAGACGAACGCCTCGCAAGACGGAAAACCCGCTAGACGAAAGGGTTTTCCGTTTGCGAGTTGCTTCGCCAGACGATTTTCCCTATGGGCTTGCTTCGCAAGACGAAAGCCCATAGGGAAATCTCCGGGACAGCGGGGAAGCGCAGCGTGTCTTCCCCACTGTCCTCGGACCTCCTCCCGCCGCCCGCCATCGGAACGAAGCTCCGATGCCGGGCGGGGGGGGCGGGAACGCGTTCTCCCGCCGCCCGCCATCGGAACGAAGCTCCGATGCCGGGCGGGGGGCGGGAACGCGTTCTCCCGCCGCCCGCCATCGGAACGAAGCTCCGATGCCGGGCGGGGGGCGGGAACGCGTTCTCCCGCCGCCCGCCATCGGAACGAAGCTCCGATGCCGGGCGGGGGGGCGGGGACACCTTCTCCCGCCGCCCGGCTTCGGATGGCTTTCCTGAAGACTTGGGGTGGGAGGAGGGTTTTCCTTCCCACCGCCAACATTCAGAATGCTGTTCTGAATGTTGGCGGTGGGGAGGAAAAACCCTCCTCCCACGCAAGCCCCGGGAACAGAGGGAAAGCGCTGCGCGCCTTCCCCTCTGTTCCCGTACCTGTCCTGAAGGCTTGCGGTGGGGAGAAAAGCCCTTCTCCGCACCGCCAGCCTGGCAAGCGGTTTCCCTAGGAACGCATTAATTGATTTTCAATGCATTCCTATGGGAAACCGTGCTTCGCAAGACGAAAAACTCGCAAGAAGAAAAAACTTGCGGAACGAATTAATTTCGTCTTGCGAGGCACCACTGTATTGGCACAACAGCATCTGAAGCCATAACCCAGAGACTGACCACCACCACCAATTTATTGAGTTCTCAGAGTTATAACAGGTAAAGGTAAAGGGACCCCTGACTGTTAAGTCCAGTCGCGGACGACTCTGGGGTTACGGCGCTCATCTCGCTTTACTGGCCGAGGGTGCCGGCGTTTGTCCGCAGACAGCTTCCGGGTCATGTGGCCAGCATGACTAAGCTGCTTCTGGCGAACCAGAGCAGCGTAAGGAAACGCCGTTTACCTTCCTGCTGGAGTGGTTATATCCTACCCTTATTCTACAGAGCTGCAGATGGCATATATTAGGGTGTATATACCCTCAGAGCCTAGGGCTTGCTGATCAGAAGGTTGGCAGTTTGAATGCCCGCAACGGGGTGAGCTCCCATTGCTCGGTCCCTGCTCCTGCCAACCTAGCAGTTCGAAAGCACGTCAAAGTGCAAGTAGATAAATAGGTACCTCTCCGGTGCGAAGGTAAACAGCATTTCCGTGCACTGCTGGCCACATGACCCAGCCAATAAAGTGAGATGAGCGCCGCAACCCCAGAGTCGGTCACGACTGGACCTAATGGTCAGGGGTCCCATTACTTTTACAACAAGGCTGCAAGGTAAATTAGGCTGAGTTTGTGTGTGACTGATCACCCAGGGAGACAGACTGCTGAGTGGGGATTCAAACTCTGACAGGTCTCTCCGCAGCAAGTCCAAACACTCTACCCACCGTACCACATGGATGCGAAAGTGCTGAAGGGTTCAACTCACCTATGGGAACAAAGGGGGCATCTCTGGATTTCCTTGCTAGTTTTGATGCTTGGCTGTCATCTTCAGCTGGCGACCAGGACTCATCAGGAGACATTTCTCACGTCTGAATACAAAAATAAGTGCAGGGAAATAGAACATTTATTGGGAAAGCATTACCGATTAGAGATGTTCTGGTTATGGCAGCTGAAAGGAAGCACACTGAAGGACTGGCTGTGGTGCATTTTATTTCAAATAAAACTTTTTTTATACTCTAGTAGTATTTCATTCCATAGGCCAACCAAGCTCCTTCTCTCCATGCTCCCTGACCTGTGCTGGCTCCCTGGTACTATTTTATTACTGAATGGTTCTTAGACAATGAACCTATATGTGAGCGGTGTGTTTTTGAGTTATCATGCAGGATGAGGCCTTAGGAGGTCACACAAGGTCATATGGCCCATTCATTCATGCTATCTGTTGAGGATTGGTTCTTAATGATTCGGGGACCTGGCTTATATGGTCAAACCCACCAATATTGTAAGAACTAAAGAGGTTCAACAATAAAATGATTTATTCATGCAGAAATTGAGCTTCTACATCCAGTACTGGAATGATAAGGTACAGGATGAAAGTTAGCCACATGTTCTTTTAGTAATAATCTGATAATAAACCCTTTATTATTTCCCCCCTTTTCCTCTTTTCTTCTGTGCCTCTCTTATATGGGTGAACTAAATAACCTGTCAGTTACTTTTTTATGTAGGTCTTATTGGATGTATGTTTCTGCAGAATAACTCTGCAACCTGTACAACACTGATGGTTAAAGAAAGGGGGGAAAAAGGGGGGAAAGGAAAGGAAAGGGGAGAACAAATTTTCTTTCTGCAATATGGGTGTAAATTCTTTGTAAATTTTTGTGTATATGTGTGTAATTTAACCTAATAAAGATTATTAAAAAACAAAACAAAAAAAAGTAATGTTTTTTCCATCAGCAGCCACTTTTCCTATCTCCAAACTGGCTCTTATTTTTCTTAAAAATGAAAGCCAGTTGATCTATAGCACAATGCATAATATTTTAGCAGTGTCATAAACAATGACTGTGGTTTAGCTGTTCTTTTTATTACATGTTTATGCTATGCTTCTCCCAAGTAGCTCAGGGTAGCTCCCCCACCCGCATTATTCTCAAAATCATCCTATGAAGTAGATCAGGCTAAGAGAGAGTTCCTGGACAATGTTCACCCAGTTAACCTTATCACTCAGCAGGGATTTGAATATGATCTTAGTCTCTGAACACAACACTTCTCTGACTTTCTTAATCCACTAGCTAATAGTTTCATATACATGGTATAGTGTTATATGCAACACTCTGCCAAACCATACAAAGGTATAGAATACATTTTTCATTTCAAGTAGATGCCTAATCTCAGTGTAAAGGCTACCCAACATAATTGATCTACAAATAGCAGCTTTGCTAATTAAACAACCCTTGCTATTATCCTTGGTTCTCAAGAGTGAATTCATATAACTTTAGTTCCTTGCCAGCTTCTATACCTTTTCTGCAAGATTCAAGAGCAACTGAATCTCAGAAACCTTTTCCCGCTTACTAAAATCCCACAATCTTTTAGCTTCCATATTCTAAACAGAGCACACTGTGTTCCTTAAAAATTTGTTTCATTTTTCCAAATTAAATCCTATCCTATTGCCCTTCTCTGAAGTTGTTTGCAGTCTTTCGGTCTCATCCAAAAGCTGGAAAGAGTATATATAAAATGTATTTCATACCTACATGAAGATAAAATACAGTACTTCAGTAGTGAAGCCCTCTTCCATATCATTTTAAAAATGAATCCATTGTGCAAATAGGATCCAGTTAAACTAGGTGCTCTATGAGGACCTCCCATATTTTTAACTAATGCCAATAGTTTTACCTGAGATACAGCCATCTATCTTGATTTTTGTTAGAAATACGGAAAATAAGCAAGAATTCAAGTTGTTGAGTTACCTTTGCTTCTGCTGCATTAACTGTCCATCTACTCTGTGATCTCAAAAAGAGAGAAAGAGGATCTTCCTATGGCAGGCTGAGGCTGCTGTCGGTAATGAGAGACAAATACAATTATAGATCGTTTGAAGGCAACATCTGGTAAAACTCTGTTCTAATACGCTTCTTCTCCCAGGTTCTGTAAGCTTTGTTAGTTTCATAATTGTTCCTAGAAGCAGGCACAAGGGCAGAAAATATCTACTGTCATTGGTTTAATGAGCAGAAGTTCTCTTTATGCATGAAGTAGGCCATAACATTTCATCAAATCATTTCTGGGTATAATTCTACTATGGGGGGAAACATCAGTAGTTTCTCAGATTCCCAAGAGCCTGCATTATATTGGAACTATTTCCAACTGAAGCAACATGGAAGCCTTTAAATGCTACGCACTAGTCTTTTTATTATTCCCCAAGCGAACAGTTCTTTGCTAAATCAATGATATTTGTAATTTAAAAACAACTGTCGAAACACCTGGAATTGGGGTAGTGATGTGTTTTATCAACTTTTACTGCATGCTACGGAAATTACCAATTTCCCCTAATTTCACATGCTTAATAGTCTGCCTGTAAAGATTACTCTTATAAAATGCCACCTTCTTTCTTACTTTGTTGACTGTACAGCATGCTGTTACTTTTATAGATTCGACAATCAGATCAGCAAATAAGATCCAGTGTATGTGAGCGCTTTACAGTTACTGTCTTCTGTACTGTAAGACCAGCATATCTAGTTAATATTCGCATAGGACAAGCTTGTGATTATTGAGGAACAGACATTCCGAATCAGTAGATTACTTTGGGTAAATGATTATGCAAACATAACAATATTTATCTCAGAACATCCACTTGCCCAAATCATCACTTTTATTCCTTTTGAGTAAACATGCATAGGATCTGCCTGTCTCAGCTGAGAGAAGAAGCCTGTGTTTACACTCCATTTCTGCCTGGTGTAGGTGTCCACACAGTACAGTGGTACCTCGGGTTAAGAACTTAATTCGTTCCGGAGGTCCGTTCTTAACCTGAAACTATTCTTAACCTGAAGCATCACTTTAGCTAATGGGGCCTCCTGCTGCTGCCACTGCGTCACCGCTGTGCAATTTCTGTTCTCATCCTGAAGCAAAGTTCTTAACCCGAGGTACTATTTCTGGGTTAGTGGAGTCTGTAACCTGAAGCGTCTGTAACCTGAAGCACCTGTAACCCTAGGTACCACTGTAATTAGAATGAAGAACAAGTTCCACTAATTCTTTGTTTTATCAATATGTCGAATGTAAATACAGTAGCTCCCATTTTTAACACCAGGTCCTACAAGTAATTTCTTCTTTCGTTTATTACATCCCCATTCTATTTTATGCACAAATGAGTAGTGCATTCTTGAACCCACATCTCAGCATCTCCATATAGCAACTTCTGCCTACCAGAAAACCTGACGCACTGTGGCATGGGTGGCAAGTACAACCAGAGCATCACCCCCTTGCATAATGATGCAGTACTGTCTCCTGTAGACAGTATTTTGGCAGGTGCTGAAACTTCCTGAGTCCAACTGTTAAAAGACACTGAATCCTGCCCACAACTTCAAATGGATTGCACCAGCAGGTGAGGGATATAAGAGGGCTCTCTGGCTTTCAGGGATCAGGTGTGTTACATTCATTTTACAACAGTTTCCGTATGGTTGCTACCCAACTCAACCAGGCAAAAACATTCCTCTTCTCCCAGGTCTTTGGCTAATTAAACTACCTATGGCCTTTTAAACACTCAGGAAGGGTGCTGTTTTTGTTGGTTACTATGTTACGTATTTTTGTGTTTTTATATTGTAAACCGCCCTGTGATCTTTGGATGAAGGGCAGTTAGAAATACAATAATAATAACAACTACAACAACAACAATAATAATAATAATAATGGCAGAGTGCATACTTTGCATGCAAAAAGCCCCTCCTTCAGTCCTCATCACCTCCTGTCTGAACCACACACCCCTATTCAGCATAGAAAATACTGAACTAGGACTCAAGGTCTGACTTTATATAAAGCAGATTTCTAAGCCCTATGGGGGTATACTATCTCGTGTTTTTATTTTATTATTTATTATAAAATGGAAGATTGCTTGATTGCACTTAAAGAAAACCGGGTCATGTAATCTGGTGGTTCTATCCACATAATCTCCATACATTGGAAGAGCAGGAGGAGAGTGTCTCTGTGCATGTTCAGAGGCACCCTGTTGTCAAATCAATTGCCTCAGAGCCCTGACAGTGTAAACGATTTGTGGGGCTAAATGCTTAAAAGAGCGATTTTTTCAACTTAAAAGCATCAAGTGAGCTAGTGATGGTATTGCAACGGGAATTGGATACTGGGCATATTTGCGTCGTAGCTGGGAAGTCCTAGTTAGAAGTTGCCCTCAGCAATGGCGTGTTTCTGTTGCTTGTTTTCTTAAATGTTTTTTAATGATGCTGATATTATTTTTTTAGAATTGTTACCACACATCATTATTATATCATTATTTCCTAGCAACCTGGGGAAATAATAATAAATAATAATGATAATCTGAGTTCGTCCTCCTCCTCCTCCCCTCACATCTTCCCTCAGAAAGCAGAAAACAAATCCCGCCCAATTCTCCGCCTAGGTCTGCGCGTGCGTGTGAGGGAGAGCGCGAGAGCACGACGGCCTGGCACGTCCCTCGGTTTCCCATCATCCTCTGCAGCTCAGGCCGACCTGCCGAGAGGAGAAACCAAGTTGCGCTGGGACGGAGCAGAGTTCAGGGCCGCGATGGAGCCGCGGGCGTTACGAACTTGCTCCCTCTCTCCCGCTCCCCCCTCCGCTCGTGACGTCACGCCCAAGCCACCAATCGGGAAAGGGGGTTTGCTGCGTGGGTGGCTTCGGGCGGCGGTTAAAGCCGCGAGAGAGGAAAGGCCCGGATGCTCTTGTGTGAGGGCTCAAGCCCCGCCTACCGCCCGTCAAAGGCGGGAAAGGCGTCCGTCTGAAAAGTGTTCCCTCAGGAGCGAGTCGTTGCAGTTATTTCAGTTGGGGTATTGCTGCCTCGTAGAGGTGCCTGGGGTGGCGGCTGCGACTTGGCATGCTACAACGAGGTATATTTTTGTAAAAAAGAACAACGTCAAAACATCTGGGGGGGATGGGAACCCTGTTAGGCTGCTGGAGGCGAAGGTTTCTGCATTCCTCCTTTTTCTGACAGGCAGAAGTTCAGCAGGTGGAGAGGATGTGAGTCCTTGTTGGATTTCTCTCTGGCGTGTGTACAGCAGCCAGGGAGGAAAATTTAGATCAGGGGAATTGGCTTGGAGAGGTTTAAACCCTTCCCATAATGCCGCAACTCCAACCAAATTTGGGCCAGGCCGCTGCCCAGGGACGCGGACTTATAAAAAATATTGGGGGGGCCCGGGAAAGCTCATGAATAATAAATAAGCTCATGAATATGCAAATAAAGTGGCTCCGGCCCTAAATAGGGCAAGCCACGCCCCCCCAGCCAGCCGATTGGCTGGCTGGGAGGTGTGGCCAGTCGGGATTCCCCTGTTCTCGCGGGGGCTGAAACCGCCAGGAGGAAGGAAATTCCCCCCGGCAGTGCCTTGGCGGTGGCGGTGGTGCTGCGAAGCAGCGAGGCAGGAGCCCCCGCCCCTGGCGCCCGAGATTATTGGGGGGGCTGAGCCCCCCCAAAAAATTTTTTGAGGGGGCTCGAGCCCCCTCAAGCCCCATGGAGTCGGCGCCTATGCCGCTGCCACACAGAAGCTTTTAAGTACAGTGGTGCCCCGCAAGACGAATGCCTCGCTAGACGAAAGGGTTTTCCGTTTTTTGAGTCGTTCCACAAGACGAATTTCCCTATGGGCTTGCTTCGCAAGACGAAACGTCTTGCGAGTTTGTTTCCTTTTTCTTAAAGCCGCTAAGCCGTTAATAGCCGCTAAGCCATTAATAGTCACTAATAGCCGTGCTTCGCAAGACGAAAAAACCGCAAGACGAAGAGACTCGCGGAACGGATTAATTTCGTCTTGCGAGGCACCACTGTAATAATAATAATAATTTATTTATACCCCACCCATCTGGCTGGGTCCCCCCAGCCACTCTGGGCGGCTTCCAACAAAACACTAAAATACAATAACCTATTAAACATTAAAAGCTTCCCTAAACAGGGCTGCCTTTAGATGTCTTCTAAAAGTTTGGTAGTTATTTTCTCTTTGACATCTGGTGGGAGGGAGTTCCACAGGGCGGGTGCCACTTCCGAGAAGGCCCTCTGCCTGGTTCCCTGTAACTTGGCTTCTTGCAGCGAGGGAACCACCAGAAGGCCCTTGGCGCTGGACCTCAGTGTCCGGGCAGAACGATTAAATTAAATTACATTAAAACATTGAGTGATCTCGTGGTGGCTCCTGTGGTCTGGCTCTTAGGGGCCGCCAGCCTTTTTGGGCCAATGGCCATCTTTGCAAACTAGAGAAACACCCCCCCCAAACCACACACACTTCAGATTTATTGGCTACAACAGAATATTTTTAATGCCTAATTTCCGATGAAGGGCACTCCGTAGTCACCAGGAAAGCCTTTGTGAGCACATTGGGGGCACACTGATGCTCCCAAATGAAAGGCATGGTCACAGAGCTTATTGCGGCTTACTACCTTATGCCTGGGACGCAGCTGGCGCTGTAGGTTAAACCACAGAGCCTAGGACTTGCCGATCAGAAGGTTGGCAGTTCGAATCTCAGTCCCTGCTCCTGCCAATCTAGCAGTTCGAAAGCACGTCAAAGTGCAAGTAGATAAATAGGTACCGCTCCGGCGGGAAGGTAAACGGCGTTTCCGTGCGCTGCTCTGGTTCGCCAGAAGCAGCTTAGTCATGCTGGCCACATGACCCGGAAGCTGTAAGCCGGCTCCCTCGGCCAATAAAGCGAGATGAGCGCCGCAACCCCAGAGTCGGCCACGACTGGACCTAATGGTCAGGGGTCCCTTTACCTTTACCTTGTGCCTAGCAGCAACACATCTCCTTTTCAGATGACGCTTTAGAAATGTGAGACTCGGAATAATATCACAAGCAGCTGGTATTTCCAGCTATGCCTGCCTGGTGGTACCACTTGTTCCCTGTTCTTCTCTTGAAATATATCTCCAATATAATCTTTTACAGTAGCTCCTCTGCTTGGTTTACAACTACATTTATTAGCCATTCCAGCATAAGCTTCCACAGCAGAGAGTAAAAAGGAATACAGTGGTACCTCAGGTTACATATGCTTCAGGTTACATGCGCTTCAGGTTACAGACTCCGCTAACCCAGAAATATTACTTCAGGTTAAGAACTTTGCTTCAGGATGAGAACAGAAATCGTGCTCCGGCGGCGCGGCAGCAGCAGGAGGCCCCATTAGCTAAAGTGGTGCTTCAGGTTAAGAACAGTTTCAGGTTAAGAACGGACCTCTGGAATGAATTAAGTACTTAACCCGAGGTGCCACTGTATGACTCTCCTTCATTGGGTGCTTCTAAGCAGAGGTTGGATGGCCATCTGTCACGGATGTTTTAGTTGAGATTCCTGTATTGTGAGGGGTTGGACTAGATGACCCTCGGGGTCTTCCAACTCTACAATTTATGATTCTATGGTGAATCTACAGAGACCACCAGCAGTCACATCCAATGCTCCGCATCACTGTATTCAATAAATAGTGTGACACAAATTAAAATTATGTTTTAATGTGCTTGTTTTTTATATTTGCTTTATTTTATGTTGTGAAGCTGTTCTTAGTGGGCTATGACCACAAGGGAGGGTTGATTATTGGATGGAGATAATTTTATAGCAATGTGCACTTTCATCCAGCAGATGTCACTATCCTCTCAGAAGTGACATCATTGATCATCAGAAGTATTATTTATACAAATACACTTATCTGTTAGATACTTTATGTAATTCTCTTTGTGGCCTAATTAACTATACAATAAAAAGATGATAGTTTTTCATCTTCATGTTGCTGCTGAAAGAAATAGGACACAGATTTACTAGCATGACTGGTACCACAATCCAGTAAAATGAGGCAAATGCTTGGACTGTGAACCCATACCCAACCTGATTTCTAATCTGCACTCCTTGTTGCTCTTCCATTGCCTTGGAGAACAGCAGGGGAACAGATCTCAATTATGACTTACAGAAGTGAGCGACTGGTGTGCTCTTGGTGGGGAAAGAGCTGTTCCCCTGCTCAAGGAGAGAGAGTTCATTTGAGATTTTCTGATCTGGCGCTGGCATTCTTTACTGAGGGAGTACATCCCACTGAAATCATGCTTAGGATCGTGCAGGAAGTCAACAACAAACCACGACCCACAGTTTGGATGTAATGCTAAGCTCTCTCCTTCCTGGTTTGTTTACTTCCCCCACCGGGGAAGAAGCAAAATGGCCACTCATGTGCATTACAGTTTATTAAACCATGATCCTTGCCTTACTGTTACAAGCAAACATGGCCATAGAGTGACACCATCACCACAGCTATGTGGGAAATCATGTTAACACCAAAGCCTGATTGTCTAGAAGCTCTGTTCATCTGAATTCTCTACTTTAAAAGAAAGAGAGATAAATTTTGTGAGCAGAGGAACTGGGCATTTGTGTGGATGCCCTTGACCCACATGAAGTTGTGCAATGGGACTGTTCCATACCAGGTCCAGTGGTCAAAATCATTGGAACTGAAAACATAATAGGTTCCAAATGGTGACCCTTTGTGCTCTTATTTCTCTTGGAACATTAACAATTAATTTGCTAAAGCTGGCAGCGTCTTCATGCTTGAGATCCAGTTTGGGAAGAATGGAAATGTCACAAGGAAAGAAATGGAGGCAAAGCATCCTAAATTACATTGCTCTCTGGCTGTTCACAATTCACTGACAAGCCTATTGTTCCCTGATCTCTGAAATTAAAACAGTTTTTTAAAAGTAGATTAAATGGAGCTGGGAAGGTTTGAGAAAAGGTTGTAAACCTTGCTGTCATACTTAATTACATACTATTTGCTGCTTTATTATGAGAGAGAGAGAATGTGCATAGCATGGTTGGAATAAAATATAAAATGGGCTTAGAAATGTGACAATGAAAAAACACCTATATGTAGATAATAATATTGCAGTGGAGTCCAGAAATCTTCGCTAGCCCTAACAACCTGTGAAGAGAAGCATTAAATGGAAAATTAAAAAAATGTTAGATAGAGATAATTTTACCTTTAGAGGTAAGGGCTTACAAATGTGAGAAGCAGAGCCTATTTTGTGATGGTGCTAGAGAGAGTCAAGTGTTTGGTGTCTGAGGGAGAAAATTCATATAGTGCCCCCAGGGTGGTAAGATTACCATAAACTAGGTAATTACCAATTCATTGCTATTCAATGATACTCAAAAAATCTGTCACCTAAAGTGAACCTAAAGTTCAAGGGGGTTGTGGGGAGGCATCCTCTCTGGAATTCATTGTCTAAAGACATTTATACTGAATAACCAGCTTTCTTGTGTTTATTTAGAAAGCAGATAGCATCTTCGTTTAGGAAAGCATTTGATTGGCTGGTCTTATTGTTGTTAAGGCTTCCTTGCTATTTTGCTTGTGTGATTTGATCAGTTTAATGCTTTACTCTTGTTTAAAGTTGTTATGGTTGCTAGATGACTTTTATCCTTTTGATGATGGGTGTAGTGTATCAAGAAAGCAGCATGAGGTCAGGACTACATGGCCGATCTGGTGCTCTTGCCACAGAGCTCCAACCTCACCCCACCGCTTGCATCAGCCGTGCTGGCCACTCATATAGATATATTCAAATTATATATATTTCCCCCAAATTTGTATCTATACATGTAAAGTGGCTGGGGAAACCCAGCCAGGTGGGCAGGGATTATTA